ACATTTGGTCTGGTGTGTTCCTGTGTATCTTGTAGTTGCCTAACAGATAGAAGCCAGTGCAGAAAATCTCTTCTCTTGTAGAGATGCAGAGACTTTTTAGACTTGACATCCATCCAGGATTTAGGGTTACAACAGTGAATGAATGTAGCAGATTTGCATCATCCCCTTCATATTTCCTCCTATCATATTAACAATTTTTCAACCATAGTTTGTGTCAAACCACAACTTGCCTTGTGTCCAAATCCAACGACAGTGGGTTTGCAGAACCATAGCTTATTGTGATGGATCTGCCATTGGGGGAAGTTCTCTACTGGCAGATCCTCCATTTCTAAGGGCAACACAGAAAATAGGTTCCTCACATACTTGAGGAGGTCCAGCTCTTGTGCTTAGAAGGGGTTAAGCCCTGTAGACCAGGGCTAGAATCTTATTAGTGCATTACACTAGCAGTTGCACAGAAGTGTTGAGAGAAGGTAGAGAAAACCACTTGGCTCCCAATTAGACAATTTCTTCTTCTTCTTCTTCTTCTTCTTCTTCTTCTTCTTCTTCTTCTTCTTCTTCTTCTTCTTCATTACTGCTGCACCCATGGCCCTTCTCCTCCCAATGCCATTGCCTACATTGGTGTGCACCAAGAGGATTCTACTCAATGATCCCTGCCTACAGTATGGCTTCAGGACTAGGAAATAAATTTTAGTCTGGCTTCTTGTTAGTGATATAAGCTGGCATAAGTCCAATGTATGGCTTTTTAAAGAGGATGTATGTCTTTTTTTAGGGGATGAAATCATTGGATTCTTTTCCTACTTTGTGTAATGACCAAAATCCCCTGACAACTTATGTGCCCCCCTTATGTGCCACAGCCAGGCAGTGACAATTGTGGGGGACAACTGAGAGTGTCTCCCAGTGCAGGATCTTGACTTTAGTTTTATTTTTTTCCAGAGGCTTACACATTATTCTTGGAACACAAGGGGTAACTGAGTGACCTTATACTCTTAGCACATGAAGAAGATTTTAGTGAGAAAAACATAAAGAACTCATTTTAAAAATAATTGAAACCAAACAGAATGGAAATTTATTTGAGAAAAGAAGGGAAAGGGAAGCCTGCAAATATTGCACCTCTTTCTTTTTATCCCCTCCTCCTCGACCAATGTTATATTTTTCTCTGCCCTTAATTAAAATTATGGGGCAACCCTGCTGTTCCCTCTCCTGTATATATAGCTGCAACACTGTATCCCTCGCCTGTATCATAGCTGCAACTCACCAAAGTACTTGTAAAAACATAGACTGACTAGTAGTAAAAATAATGTTCTCCACCTCACTCACCCATAGCACCTTCTCAGGCATTAATAGAAATAATAATCTATCAGCCCACCCTTAATATGGCTTAATGGTATAATTATCTTTGTGGGTTCAATCCAGCTTCAATCTTACAGTGGGTGAACTTACTGTAATCAATGTGACTTAAGCTAGTTGTGACTAACAACTCCCATTCATTTCAGCAGATCTGCCCTTTTGTTGTTGTTATGTGTTTTCACCTCATTTCCAATTTATGGCAACTCTAAGGTGAACCTATCATGGGTTATTTTTGCAAATTTGGTCAGAGGAGATTTGCCATTGCCTATCTTTAAGACTGAAAGAGTATTACTTACCAAGATCAGCCATGGAAATAGCTGACTGAGGATTTGAACCCTGGTCTCCCAGAGTCCAAGTCAAACACTCAAACTTACACAGCTCTCTCTAAATAGGATTAATGTTACATTTAGTTGTAGGAGAAAAATATTCTACCCAGCTCTTTAATATTAATATCTTCTGTTCTTAATCATAACTGGATGCAGATAATGTTTATAATTCGGTTGAGCAAGGGAGATGAATGACAATGGTTTCAACTTTGTTACCTTTCTTTTCCAAATATTTGTCAGCTGGAGTTCTGCATAATTTGGATTCATTTATAATGCTGGCATTCCTTTTAGCCCACTAGCATTTGAAATGTACTGTTCTTTTTTCTCTTCTCTCAATGATACTGATCTGTTCATGTGATTAGAGCACTGTAAATCAATGAGAGTAAATGGCCCTTTTCAGGATATGCAGCAGAATCAAAGAGATCCATTTGTCATGCCAGCACAAAAACAAGAACTGCTCATAGCAGCAGGTCACTGAATTTAAATCACAGAAGAATGGCAGAATTAATAGCACTGCTGTTACAAATGTTTCAAGGTAATGTACTATCATTATTGAAAACAATGCAGAATTTGGATAATTGTAGTTTAAAAGAGCCTTTGTATGTTTTTTTTCTCTCTAGTGGGGAGAAAGGTATAAAATAAAACTTACACTCTTGTGTTGAAATACTCTTCCAAAATGATGTAAACTTTCCAAGTTGTTTATTTTTGGTAAACTCTTATTAACTGGTGTGTAGAAGTTTCTCCCTACCCAGTGGCACCACTAAGAGGGTCCGGGGGGGGGGGGGACCGCACCAGGTGAGACCCTAAGGTAGGGTGACACCACTGCGCCTCAGACATCTTCCCTTGCGCAGGAACAGGCTGTGGCATTAGCCTGTGTCCCTTTCAAATACTGAAGAAATGGTTGAGTGGGGTGAGGCTTAGCGGGAGGAGAAAGGAGAGGCCCCAGTTTTTAATTTTTTTAAATTTAATCTTTTAATTTTTAATTTTTTTAAATTTAAAAAAATATTTAAAAATATCAGATTTTACCAAGTATTCACTTCAGCCACATGAAACTGTGTGTGTGTGTATAATTATATAGGTAAATGCATTTAAGCAGTGCATATAATATTGTAATCTATCAGCATTTTATTTTTTCTAATTGTTTAGGTTACAATTATTACCATTACATTCAGTGATATATAGGAATTATGATTAATGAGTAAAATCAGTAGGAAAAACATTACTAAGGATTTTGTACAGTGTAAAATGGGAGGAGGTCAATGGGGGTGTGTTACACCATGAGTTACTGCACTGGGTGACATAAACCTAGTGATACCAATGTCCCTGCCTACTCATTTGCAAATGAAATGAAAACTTAAGAGGATTCCTGTACTAAGTAAGAAGAGGGAAATTCAGGAGGTGTTGCTTGTCATGCAGCCATCTAACAAACAACACCTCCTGAATTTCCCTGTTCTAGACAATCAATAAAAGTATAGGAACCCTCTCCAGTTTTTATTCTGGCTACCTCATAAGCACTGAGTCCCCCTGCAAAAAATAAATCAAATCAGTTTCTTTTGTCTCCAAATGCCCTTGAAGGTGCTAGAAAGCATTTTTGCCACTCCCCCTCCAGCCATTTTAGGTCTTTTTTGGGCAGACAAAAAATGACTTTGGGTTAAAAAAAAAAAAAGGTCCTCTCCAGATGCTGAAATGATCAACCCCCCCAAAAAACATGATGGCCCCCCACACTGCTAGAGGGCAGGATGATTGAATTGGGATGTGTGGCAAATGAGGCCTTGTAGCCTCCCATAGTTGTCTATTTATGTTGTAGATGGACCCATACTAGCTCTGATGACTAACAGGTAGCACCTTTCTGACAATATGGAATATTGATTAATTAGGATAAATAAGATCGAAATCTGATACTGTAGATTATTGATTGATCAATTTGTGTAGTATCATGCATGGTGTAAGTGTAAGAAAACAGGTCCATATGAATGCTGATCAAAACATGCATCATATTCACAACTATGTGTTCTATGCAATGGACATAGAACAAATCCTCTTCCTTGTTCATATTTAGATATTCATTTTAGGTATGCCCATTACTTGCTTCTGTTTTTGATTCATGTTGCCCAAAATGTACACTGCCTGTAGCTGGGACTGTAGCTTTGTGGTCAAGCACAGGTCCCAGATTCAGTCCCTGGAATGTCATTTGAAGGGTCATTAGAAGTTGAGAGGAACCCCAACCCTACTGTCTAGATTCCTAGAGCAGCTGTTAGTTAGAGGAGACAAAACTAAACCAAGTTAACTCAGTACAAAAGAGCTTCCTGTGTTTCTCTCTCTGCTGGATTGGGCCAACAGCTTCTCTCTGTAATCCTTTCAGAAGAGAAATGGTGATCATCATGATCAGATAAGAAAGCAAAATGGCCAGGTCTTTATGCATGGGTGGAGTAATCCAAGATTTGATATCATGTTTATAAAGGATTTATAATAATTTTTACTCTTTTCTTTCTTGGAATGCTTGAAATATTTCTTGTACACTTGTACTTTCTTAAAGAACTCACAGGAAGACAATAGCCAGGTATACTGGGAAAACCACCTGTGAGTATTCCTTGCATAAGAAAACCCCTATGATTCATGAGGTCACCATGGGGCTTATTGCATTCAAAAATAAAGTGACTTACCCCTGCCGAGATAGAGTCGCTTACAGGATGCAACTGGGAATTATCACATTAAAAAGGCCGTTGATGCTGCCGAGTGACTGCATCCTGGCTAAATCCTGGCTCCCAGCCGCACTCAGATGGCCAATTTGCAAAGTGTGATAATTCCTGGTTGCATCCCATAAGCAACTCTGTCCCGGCAGGGGTAAGTAGCTTTAATTTTGAATATGATAAGCCCCCATAAATTGCCAAGTGACTTGAAGGCAACACACACACATATAATTGCCTCCCAGGCATCCTTTGTGAGTCCGTGTCTATTCAAGGATCATTTTCTGATGCCTGCTGGGGTTGTCAAATATTGGCAAAGCACTCAGTATTAGAGTGGACACAGAAAAGCAAAAGCATGTATACTATAGTCTTTTTAATTATTTCATAAAACAAAGTAGTTTTGCCTTTTTTTTTTTACACAAAAGATCACCTATTAACCTTTGGCTTCTGCTTGTGAATCTTACTTTTGTTGTTGCTGTTGCTGTTGTTGTGGGCCTTCAAGTCATTTCTGACTTATGGCAACCCTTAAGCGAATCTATCACAGGGTTTTCTTGCCACATTTCTTCAGAGGAGGTTTGCCATTGTCATCCCTGAGGCTGAGAGACTTTGACTTGCCCAAGGACACCCAGTGGATTTAATGTGGCCAAGCTGGGATTTGAACCCTGTTCTCCAGAGCCAGAGCCCAATACTCAAACCACTACACCACACTGGCCATCATGAAAATTTACAATTATATGCACAATCATAAGCCTTAGCTCAGCAAGGGGAATGTGCATGAAGAAAGAACAATAGCACAGATCTGTCCGGTTAGTCACTGTCTTTGGGCAGAGAGAAAGCATTTTGCTCCAAATTGCACCATCAGTTCATAATGTCTGTAAGAGCTGCTCCTGTCTCATGTGCTCCTACCTTGATTATGTAGCACTTAGGGAAGAAGCCCATGTCACAGTTTGGTCATAACAGCTTAATTTCATCCACAGTTAATTGTCTTAAGAAGGATTGCTCTTAGGAACCGCAGTTTTGTCAACAAAAACTACCACATTTTTCTGCCATGGGATGGGGTGGCTATATTTTACTTTGGAAAGTTAGGGACAGAATATTGCCATGGTTACCAAAGAAAGATCTAAGCCACTGTATTTCAGTTGCTGAATAATCTTTTAAAAAAACCCAAGCCTTTCTAATGCTCCTTTTGGCTTTGTGTCAAGTCTTTGAAGTTATACTTATTTAACAGAATTGTATTCCTGTTAAACCTATGGTCGAAACCCTATGATTTCTTCATACAGATGAAAACAGAATGTCACCTTTCATGCAGCACTGCATTATAATTACATCCAACCATTGGACCTTTGTACCTCTCCCCCCCCCTTAAAAAAAAGCCATAGGCAAAAGATACTACCTGTAGATTTGAAAGATCATCAGATTTTCTCAGTAGGGATTTTAAAACAGATTTGAATGTTGCTTTGTACAGAAATTGCCAGCTGACAGCCTATGGGGTGTATCTGGCACAGCTTGTACTTTTAAAAAAAATCAGTTTTCCCAAGTTTTAAATTCTGGCCTTCAAGTGTGTTTTACTTGCCCTTTGATAGCTTGAGAACTCTCAACTGAGGCTTTAGAACCATAGAATCATAACATCTTAGAGATGGAAGATAACTTCGGAAGATAACTTCAAGGGCCATCTAGTTCAACCCCCCTCTATGCAGAAATACATAACTGAAGCACTCCTGAGAGATTACCATTCAAGCTCTGTTTAAAAGCCTCCAAAGAGAAAGAATACACCACTATCTAGGGCAGTCCTCTCCACTGTTAAATGGCTCTTAAAATGTAAAGAGGTTTTGTCTAAAGTGGAGTACATTTGTTCTTGCAATTTAAATCTATTGGTTCATGTTCTAGTCTCTGGAGCAGCAGAAAACAAACTCTCTCCATCTTCTGCATGACATCCTTTCAGATTTTTAAAGGTGACTATCGTGTCACTTGTCAGTCTTCTCTTCTCCAAATTGAATATAACAAACTTCTTAAACCATTTCTTTGGGGGGATGCAGACAAGGGCGTCGGAGACGCCCTGGTCCGGAGCACCGCCGGAGTTCAGCCTC